CCTTGAAGCAGGTGTTTTCGCCAGAGAGATGCAACGACGGCGGACGATAACGAAGCGCAAGGACACAATTACCGAGAAGTAACGGTACGCGATATGCGGGGCAACGTGAAAAATGCCAACCGCGAAAATTGCGGCGCGACCGGCGCGACCTCGGCTCGTTTTCGATAACAGTACTCGTTCGAGTGCGAATACGCCACGAGTCATATCGCGAACGCGCATCGCGGACGACTCGTCGTCAACGAGGCGAAACGAGCAGCTGGCGCGATCCTCACCTGACGCGCCTCGTAATTGCGTCCGGCTAAACGGGTCACGCGGTCACCCCGCCGATGATATTTATCGAGTTCGCGTGCCGCTGTTTTCGATCTCGTTTCCTCGCCCGGTGTCTGGCACACCTCCGCGCGCGTCCCCTTCTCGCCCAGTAATTAAATTCCTGGGGCGCAACGGGAAGCGAATAACTGTTCCATTGATCGCTCTGGGATCAGGCATCGTCGCGTCGCGCATCCGTGTAATTATTTCTCGTATCTCGCTCGCTTCGTCGGCCATCACACCTGGAGCGAACGAAGATGGTGTCCGCTTTTTCAATCGCGAATAAACCTACTTCGTCGCCCTCCCAAGAAGTCCGTTTTGGACGTCCCTTGCGTCCTTAAGTTTACTGAAAATTTCTCACTCCGTTAATCGTAAATTATATAAAAGAAGATAATTAATGATTCTAGAAAATATCAGTAGCTAATCTGCTAAATGTGCTATTAATGAAATCAAGATTTCTTGTAATTTTCGACTTGCATTCTTAATATGCCAAATCTCGAAGCAAATTTTAACATACGAAAGCAATTAATGGTATCTTGAAAAGTATCAGTAGCTAATTTTCCAAATGTAAACGAGATTTCTAAAAATTCCCGACTTGCGGTGGTCTCTTTTGAGTGCTGTATCTAATCGGTGATCGTTAAAGAAACTATGGCTTGTCTTAAACGCTCGATCAATTTAATTCTCATCTGACGGCTAGATGAGTGAATTTTAACAAGTTGAAAGCGCTGAATTGCGTAGTGGCTGCGAATTTCTAGCATCGCAACCAGACGAATTTCCGATTAACGAATACTTCGAGGCAATCAACGTAGCGCAGACAGAAGTCCTGATTTCCGTGAAACACGATTCGACTGCACTTAACGATCGACGAGCAAATAGTAGGTTCCCAAGTCTCCGCGTAATCGTTTCGAATTCAGAAGTCACTGGTCAGTGGAATTGCTAGTCTCGCTTTTCAATTCGATCATTTCCTTACGAGAATCGGACGAACGTTGTTAAACATAAACGATCGACTCGCTTCCTTTCGCGAGACTGTCCTTAATTTCGGGCTTGATTAATTCGCCAGTTAACCAGTCGCAAGACCTGTTCTCGGATTCGACGATAAATCCAAGATACTTTTCAGACGAGAGTGGTGATGTCAATACGATAAACGAGGAAGCGTCATTACACACAGCACAAAACGTACATTAAGGACTTATAATTCCGCCGGTGAACCGGTTTGTTATTTTGAAATACCTCGCATGAAATAAGTCGCTGAGAAATATCCGCTAATTCAAAAGGGATTTTTTCACAAGTATTTTTGCGATGACCGAGCATGATTAGAAACGCATAACTAATTCGACAAGATCAAATATATATATTGATGGTCTTAGTAAATGAATGACTTTTGATACACTAGATAAGCGCGGTTTTGAATTAAATGCAACTAAATCACTTAGTGGAAGCGAATGTGTTAGTTTTGGTGAAATTTATCACTCGAAGTAACTTTGTACTTCATTATCTACGGCACGTTCCGAGAATTAAATTTAATCGATCATTCGAGAAGCCCAGTTTCTTCCTGCCTTTGCAATCAAATGGCTGATGCAATGTAGCAAACGGTATCGATGTCGAATCACAAAGTCAGCTTAACGTTTCAAGAGGAAAGAGATCCGTTTGACTTAATGGTTGATTATACGCGCTACATACAGATTAAGTTGTCTCACGATATCGGAGCGGCTCCTTTGTGCAGGTTAATTGTATGCGAAAGGAACGTTGTGGAGGATTGATGTGGGAAGGAGAGATCAAATCCGTAGGAAGATTAAGTGGAATAGCAATCTGGAGATTTGTGAAGGAGGAAATCATTCTTCGAGTTTGTAGCTTTTTTTTTCTTTCTCGCGACCGACGGGCTTTCGGATGAGACATGTAAATCTCGTAATTAGGCGCTCCTAGTCAAATGCTGCTACCGGTGAAAGGTATGAGTTTATCGGAAACATCGGAGCATTCTCCGCGCGCCTCATCGACGAGATCATTAATTCGAAATCCTTTTTAAATTGCCGAAGCGATAATTTGTTCTCTTTATAAAAGGGACACTGAAACATTTCGAGCTACAAATTTTTTAAATTGTTGTTCGTGTCGAATTCGCGCGTATGCTAGCGGCGATGCAGACACAGATTACCGGAACCGTTTTTCACGAAAAACGCGCAGCAAACGGAGTCGCGGGTGGAATCCCTTTTTTGAATTGAAGCTGAAAGTCTTTATGCGAATTATTATCTCGACAAATCGTCCAACTCGTGCGACCGTTTCTCATACGTAGCAGCAAGGCCAGAAAATATTATTCAGCCGATCAAAGCACAGTCGAAAACAAAGCTTATAAACACGAGCGAGTTGAAGGTAAAATGTCTGGTGTTCGAACTTACGGAGAAATAAAGCAACTGTCTATTTTTTAGTAAACCAGGCAATAACATTTAATTAACACAAATTTTAACAATTAAATGAACAAATTCCAACGAAAGTAATTGACGTTAATTCGCACTCGGATTCGTGAAATCGCGGAGAGCGGTTCGACAATTTAGTCTCAAGATTTTCAGATGCGTTTTAGAAGGAATTAATAATCTGAACGTTTCGACTGTTTAAGAACAAGTGAAGCTTTCAAAACGATCTCTCGCGATCGACGGCGATCGATCTCATCGAGCGACGAAATTCGGCGTCGCGACTTGCGCATTAGAGTTTGCGGCGGTTGTCGAGACGCCGAATTTCGAGTGATCGCTTAGCTTGTGTAGCGGAGCTTTATGTCGTAGCGGTTTTCTTCATTTAAACTATTTGCGTTTATTTACGAAGATCTTGCATTTATATTGATCTTAAACATACCGCCCGCCTTGGAATGGCAATTCCGAATATGATCGAACTCTCGAACTAGTGAAAACGCTCGACAACGAAGCTCCAGCCGTAATACCGTCGCGAATGCGAAATTGATGACTGGTGAAATTCGAGTAAACACAGAATCAAATTCGATGATAAATTCTTGTGAGTTTCTTGGTCGTGGGGGTTTTTTTTTTTTACTACCGATGGAGTGTTCGTTGGCTCGCTATCGAGAGGTAATAAACATAATTTTGTGATTGGGCGCTTGAATTCGGACGACGCTGTTTTTATTGACACGACGCGAGGTAATGCATCTGAACCAGAGTGTAATTGCGTAATGCGCCCGAGCTCCCATTTGCAGGGAGGCAAATCTGGCTTGCGCAAGAGAACCATCTGACCGACCTTTATTATTTCTTGTTTGCGCTTCCATTTGACTCGTTGCTGGAGTGTGTTGACATATTCGTTTTGCCAGAGTTTCCAGAATTTTTCGGTCATTAATCGCACGCGTTGCCATCGTGACAACCGACTTTTCCTTCAGATTGAGCAACGATGGTTCAGGAGTCGTTGTGATAGCAGAACCGATTAGGAAATGGCCCGGAGTCAAGGGTTCGTAATCGTCGAGATGGTCGCTTAGCGGCGCAATAGGTCGCGAATTCAAGCACGCCTCTATTCGACAAAGAAGCGTCGTGAATTCCTCGAATGTGAGCGTCTCGTTTTTGACTAGGCGGCGGAGATGATGTTTCACACTTTTTACACCAGCCTCCCACAGTCCGCCGAAATGCGGCGCAGATGGGGGATAAAATTCCAGCTTACACTGTCAGTCGCGATTTTATTTTGAAAATTGCTCTCGGTGAGAGCGGCCCGATATGCGGACGCGAGCTCTCTGTCAGCGCCTAAGAATGTAGTTCCGTTATCGGAATACATTGACTCCGGTAATCCTCTCCGAGAGCAGAATCGTAAATACGCATCGAGAAATGCGTCGGTCGAGTAATTACTAACGAGCTCAAGATGAATCGCTCGTGAATTAAGGCAAATGAATAAGGCGATATATGCCTTTTGAGTCTTGATTCCGCGACCGCTACTTGTGCGAATTTGGATCGGACCGGCATAATCAACGCCACAATGCAGGAAGCTGCGCTCTGGTTTTGTGACTCGGATCGCGGGAAGATTTCCCATTAACTGTGACGGAACAGCTGCCTTTTCGCGAGCGCACGGAACGCATCGATGAATGATGGCTTTGGTCATACTTCGACTGCGTAGGATCCAAAATTCCTGTCTTAATACATTTAAGGTTAGTTGTAATCCAGCATGCAAGGATCGCACGTGCGCATTTTTAATAATGAGATGGACAAGCGGATGTGACGCGAGTAGAATCGGATGCTTCCTGTTGAATGGGAGAGGCGAATTTTGCAATCGGCCTCCCACTCGTAACACATTGTCCTGATCAATGAATGGATTAAAGGAAAGGATTGGACTTTTATGGTTGAGCGATCTTTTATGAGTGAGCGCTTGGATTTCCGTGGAAAATAAGGCTTGTTGGATATAGCGGATCCAATAAAGTTTAGCGCTGCGATACTCGTCAGCGGATACTGCGGCAGGAACTTCAGACCCTTGCGGTTGATCGTGCTTCCTGCGTTTACATTTATTTAAAAATTTATATATATAAGCTGTAACGCGGATCAATTTAGGCCAGGATGAATATTTTTTCGCTAGATCCCATTCGCGATCGTTCATTGCGACCGTTGCGCATGTAGTTCGCACTTCGAGCTCCGTTTCGTGAGACACTGTGCTATTCTCAATCGGCCAAAATTCGGAAGAGCGTTTTAGCCATGGTGGGCCTGACCACCATAAGTGATGATTGATTAAATCTTGTGCGAGCAATCCGCGAGACGCGCAATCAGCTGGATTATCGTCGGTTGATACATGACGCCAAGTGAGATGAGGGAGATTTGCAAGAATTCGGTGACGCGGTTTGCAACAAATGTTTTCCACCGAGATGGATGTTGACGAATCCATGCTAATACGATTGTGGAGTCCGTCCAACAGTAGCATTGAGTAGTATTTGCTGAGATTGATTCTTGTACGAATTTCATTAGCCGTGATAGAAGAACGGCGGCAGACAGTTCTAAACGCGGAATGCTTAAGGGCTTTAATGGAGCTACTCTAGATTTTCCGGCTATGAGCGATATTGTTGAGTTTCCGTCAGATGAAGTGACCTTGAGGTAAACAACTGCGGCGTATGCAACGAGCGAAGCATCGGCAAAGCCGTGCAATTCTTGCTTGACGACGTGTGGACCGCACCCTGTCCAACGGGGCACTCGGAATTCGTTGAGCAACCTAAGATTTGAATGAATTTGGTGCCATGTAGTTAATTGTGATGGTGGAATCTTTTGGTCCCACTCCAATTTAAGGCGCCATAGAGTTTGCATGAAAACCTTTGCGATGATAGTTGCAGGTGTCACCCAACCAAGGGGATCGAAAATTTTTGCAATGATCGCAAGTATCGAGCGTTTGGTATCTGGCGGATGGTCTTTTAATGTCGATTGGAATTGGAACACGTCGAGCACGGGATTCCAACCGACGCCGAGCACTTTGAGCGTTTCGCTCTCGTCGAGAGGTTTTGTGCAAGCGAGACCGTGATCCTCCGGGTTGATCTCGGCTAGAAGATCCTGCGAGTTGCTTGCCCATTTTCGTAATTCGAAACCGCCGCATCGCAAGAGTCGAATCAACTGTTCGCGTACTTGACGAATGCGTGTTACGTCGTGTTCGCCGAAGAGTACGTCGTCGACATAAGTCTGATTCGTCAACACGGGAACTGCGAGAGGAAACTTCTGACCTTCGTCCTGCACCAGTTGTTTGAGAACACGAAGAGCTAAGAATGGTGCACAGGCTGTTCCGTATGTGACCGTGAGTAATTGAAATTCTGTGACGTGTGCTGAGGCGGACTGCCATAGAATTCTCTGATAGTCCATGTCGCGAGGATCAACGCGGATTTGCCGATACATTTTTGTGATATCGGCAGTGAAGACGTATTTGAACTGTCGCCATTGCATTATAACGGCCGGAAGTTCTGATTGGAGCTTCGGGCCTGCTAAGAGATGATCGTTTAGAGACGATCCGTTTGAAGTTGCTCTCGAAGCGTCGAAGACAACGCGTAAGCGTGTCGTTGTGCTACTATCCCGGATGACGGAATGGTGTGGAATATAAATGCATTGCCCTTTGTGCGAGAACGATTTCGGAGCGACCTGCATGTGCCCGAGGAGTTCGTACTCTGAGAGAAAATCTGAATATTCGCGTGCCTGCGCGGGATGAGCGTCGAGTCTTCGAATTAAATTGCGCAGTGATTTCTCAGCTATAGCGCGAGAGTCTCCAATGTCAATTGGAGGACCGTGTTTGAATGGAAGACGCACTACGTATCTTCCGGTGGAATCTCGCGAGTGCGTATTCCGGAAATGAGTCTCGCAACGTTCGTCTTCGGGACTTAATATTTTTTTGTGAGGCATCTCTTCGATCTCCCAGAATTTGCGCAATTCGTACTCGAGAGAGTCGGAATTGCAGCAATGATTTGCGTTAACCTTTAGTGCTTTCTGACATGTCGTGTTAACTGAGGACGTGCTCATGGGAGAGTTCGAAAGAC